GGCATGGCCACACCAGGAGTCTCAAGGGCGGTGCACACCCTCTGGAAAAGGGACTTAAATGTTTATTATGTTGTTGTTTGTCACTTAAAGGTATGTGTTTATTGTGTTGTGTTGGGCTGTGGGTGTTGTGTTGGGGGTTGGTCTAGCGTCAGGGTGAAGCCTGTGGATGGTGGTGACCTCCTCCTGGAGTTCAGTGCTTTGTATGTTCCTTGCTGCCCTGGTGTTTAATAAAGAGCACTTTTCATGGAAAACGTGGCCTCCCCTGTGTCTTACTCTATGCTGATGCTACAATACGTTTCCAGGCCTAAAAGCTGTCACCTGCATCTATTCTGAGGGCTGAGGCAGTTAGAGAATTGAAGCACAAACTCTGATAATAGGTGCCAGAGTCTGGGGACACAGACTGACTCACTCAAATGAGGGCACAAAGATGGGCAAAAAGGTTGTCATTAAAAAAAAATCTCACTTGGGAGGCACAGAGGTGAAATCAGGCTGACCTCAGCGAAGAGGCTGAACTGAAGTGCGAGGACATGATGCAGTGGAGATGAATAGAGATGAGTGAGTAACCTGCTCCACAAAACCAGATCAGAACAGCAGGCCGACTGACAGAGAGTGAGTGGGAGAGGTGAGAAAAGACACATCTGCCTCCCGTACCTACACATGAGGGGGCGAGAGAGGAGGAGGAGGGCATTTAATGAATTGCATATAAGCCAATCCTATGCAAATCTCAAATATGTAAATGCAAACCTACAGACACATGTACATACACAAACAATGGCCAAAAGTATGTGGACACCTAACTATCAAACCTTGTTGGAGCTTGTTGGATACCCCATTCCAAAACCATGGACATCAACCCCATGGACCCCCACTTTGTGGCACATAGCAGCCTCCACTCTTCTGGGAAGGCTTTCCACAAGACTCTGGAATGTGTCTGTGGGAATTTGTGGCCATTCAGTCAAAAAAACATTTGTGCCTCACAAATGACATTCCAATTAATGCCAAAGGTGTTCAGTGGGGTTGAGGTCAGGGCTCTGTGCAGGCTACTGGAGATCCTTCACACCGAACTCATCTAACCATGTCTTTATAGACTTCACTTGGTGCACAGAGGCACAGTCATGCTGGAACAGGAGAGGGCCTTCCCCAAACCACTCCAGTCGACGCTTGGGGTTGCACATAGTGATCTTTGGCTTGTGTACCGCTTCCATAGAAGTGGGTGTGACTGAAACACCTGAATTCAATAATTAGCAGGGGTGTCAATATACCTTTGGCCATAAAGTGCAGGTAAAATGAAAGGTCATGAAAAAATTTCCTCCTGGTTAATTAGCTCAATCTCATACTGAACATGTGAAAAATCTAACCTTTAATTCAAGCAATGAAACTATATCAAAATAATTACAATAGTAATAACTTTTAATGAAACCACAGGTCATTATTATTGGCACCTATGCATTTAGTACTTTGCGCAACATCCATTGGCCAACAGCAATAAGTCTTCTCCCATAGCATTAGATTAGAATACAGATCAAGGAAACTGAGACCACTCCTCAAAAGAGAATCCCTCCAGATCCTCGAGGGCCCTGCGGCCTCTCTTTTGGACACTCCTTTTCAGCTCGTCAGTGGGGTTTAGGTCAGTGGACTGGGATGGCCATGTCAAAAGCTTGATTCTGTGGTCATTTAACAATTTTTGTGTAGATTTGGAAGTATGTTTTAGATCATTGTCTTGCTGGAAGATCCAACAAGATCCCTGCTTACTGGCAGAGGCAGTTAAATTTTGATTTTATGCCAAACCCACTGAATATTTGTTACCAAAAAGCTGTTTTTGTTTCATCAGGACCCAGTTTCAGTAGTGTCTAATGAACTCCAGGCACTTAGCTTTGTGATCAGATGGAAAAAAGTCTTTCTTTTTGCATACCTTCCTAATAAGGTTATTGGCATGTGGAAGTGTCTATTTGTAGTTTTGGAGACTCAGTGACCCCAAAATGCTGCCAGCTCTTTTGCAAACCTCAACTGGGATCCTTGGAGAAATTTCTGTCTCTCTAACCATCCTCCTCACTGGGCCCAGTGGTAAAACACTCTTCCAGGTAGGTTCACTACAGCTCTGGTTGTTTTAAACTTTTTAATTATTGCGCTAAGAGTGGGTATGGACATTTTAAGGCAGGTAGCTGATTTTTTTTTATAGCCATTGGTTTCTGTATGTGTCTTCAAAAAATCTTCTCCATGGTGATTGATAACTAATGAGAATTTGACCTTTGTGCAACCTCATATTTGTACCCCAGGAGAAATAGGAGGTCATGGATGTCCACTTAAGAGTTCCCGAACACTCAGATGGACTTACAAAAGTGAAATATTTATGGAAAACAAACTTAAGTTACATTTTATTCTTATGTATTTCAAGGGGTACCAACAACTGCCAAAAGTTTTAGTTAAAAAATATTTTTTTACAAAAGTTTTTTTTTAGACTAAGTTTACTTAAATTAAGGTTAGCTTTTTCTCATCTTTTCAGTGTGGGAAGGAGTTGATTAACCACAGTCATTTTTTATGATCTTTTTTCCCTGACTAGCTGTTGAACAAAGCTAACAAGAGCACATTAGACAAATGTTTCTTTCTTTTTGACCCAGTCAAAACAGTCTAAAAAAGAGGATGGACATCAAAATGATACATTTTAGTCTCAGATAACATGCCAGTGAAAACTGTGTGAAAAACCAAGGCAAGAACATGACATGACTGACTTCATAAAAATGAACCAACGCCTTGGTTGAAACTCTATAAAATTCAAATCAAATGACGTAAACTGTGTAGAAGCGTGACGCTCAGTGGACATTGCACATAGAAAAATAACTTGTTAGGAAATATGTTTGGAAGTACAGCGCTGCACCCAGTGCTCACACTTACTGGAGACAGTGTGTTTCACTGAGGGTTCAATACTCATTTGGGTTGCAGCTTATCAGCCAAGGTGAGATGTGGAGCGCTAGTCAAGCTGCTAATGCTAATCACACTGATAATGCTGCCAACATTAGTCACGGCTCTAACCTCACACTGCTGTCACACTCTTCACAACAGAGTGAAAGAGAGACTGAGTTAGTGCGTGAGAGAAAGAATGAGTGAGGGAAAAAAATGAGCACGTAAAATACAAGAAAATTACTGACTGTATAGAAGCTCATCTCACCAGGTACACAAGATAAAAATGCCTATTTTTGTCTCCTTCTCTTTTTTCTGGCATGTTAAAATTTTGACTTAGTAAACTCTATAGCTAAATGTATGTGGACACCCCTTCTAATTATTGAGCTCAGGTGTCAATAATGCCACCTTTGCCACAAGTCAGTTTGTGAAATTTCTGCCCACAGTCAGCTGTAAGTGCTATTATTGTGAAAATTGAAACATCTAAGAGCAACAAGTTTAGTCACAAAGTAGTAGGCCAAACTCACAGAGCAGGGCCACAGAGTGCTGAAGCATGTTCAAATCGCCTGTTCTCTGTTGTATCACTCACTACAGTTCCAAACTGCTTCTGGAAGTAACATCAGCACAAGAACTGTGCATCAGCAGCTTCATGGGAAATGGCTTTCAGCTGTACACAAACCTAGGATCAAAGTGCTGGCTGGAATGGTGTAAAGTACACCACCACTGGACTCTGGAGCAGTGGAAACGTGTTCTCTGGAGTAATGAATCACATTTACTGCTGGCTGTCTGGACGGATATGGGTTTGGCAGATGCCAGGAGAACACTGCCAACCGAAATGCATGGTGCCAACAGGCCAACAGTAAAGTTTGGTGGAGGAGGGATGATGGTCTGGGGCTGTTTTTCAGGGTTTGGGCTCAGCCTCTTAGTTCCAGTGAAGGGTAATGTTAATGCTACACCATAGAGACAGAGACATTATATGCTTCCAACTTTCTGGCAACATGCCTGTTTTAGAGGTCCATGAAGACATCGCTTCACGAATTTACTGTGGAGGAACTCCCGTGGCCTGCACAGAGCCCTGACCTCAACCCTAGTAAACACTTTTGGGATGACTTAGAACTCTGATTGCGAACCAGGGCCCGGATTCACAGAAGCATCTTAAGAAATAAAATTTTCAATGTGTTTTTTTTCTTAACATTTTTAAGAAAAATTCCAATTTTTTTTCCTTAAATTATTCTTAAGAATAATTCTAAGAACAAAGCACATTCTTGAAAACGTATGTTCTCAAATGTTTTCGTAACCTTACGATAGCCTCATACTTGTCTTAGGCTGCAAGAGTTTACGAAGTAGATTTATGAAACACGAACACTGCCTCTGCTACTCCTGCCCATCTTTGTCTCTTGCTTTCCTGTCACCCCACAATTATTGTATTTTCTAGGAAGAATTTTTGTCCCATTGGCTATTTCTTCCACCATCACCTCTAGCTTATCACTGGGCTGTCCTCTGAGTGTACTGAGTTCAATAAAAAAGTTTAATACAAATTCAAAGTGTATCCTACACTGTTTATGGTGAGCTGTAAAATGCAACAAAGCTCTCAGAACAATGAAGATTTTCTTAAAATATCTAAAGGAAATAATTAAAATTTTCTTAAGAGAATGTTTGAGAAACTTTGTTATTTAAGTTTTTTTTGAGAATTGCATTTAAGAATATTCTTATGGACTTTTTAGTGTTTGTCCTAAGAACCTTGGGTTAGGTGGGTCAACTCCAGAATAATGCCCATGGACTGGGATGTCCAACAAGCTCATATAGGCGTGATGGTCAGGTTTCCACATACTTTTGGCCATATAGCATCTATCTTAGTATCTCGAAAATAAATACATATTTTCTTGAGATTTTGAGTTATTAGGACTAAACTAATTCTGATAAGGAAGCAATTAGTAATTGGGATATTTTGGCACAGCAAGCCAAAGTAAGTCATTATTTTGACACATTAAGTAAAGATTTTTAGAAAATAAGTCATTATTTCAACATCAAAAGTCAAAATGAGAGAAAAAAAATGTGATCTGAAGGAAAAACTCATGTACTACTGCCAGAAGGTGACAGACTGAAAGTGTTTGTAAAGCTTTATTTGAGCTGGATGAGTTTTACTTGGTGAGGTCCTGTAATTTGAATGATTATAGATGAGATCCGTGATTTTTATCCAGTATGAATATGCCATGTCCATAGTTTTTACAAGTTTGCTATGTAATAATTTTCAAGTGAATACCTTCTCTAATTTGCTGAACTCAGAGCTCCCTCAGTTATAGTAGTCCTATTTGAATCAACATTACTGTAACGTAATAACAAAACCAGGTCATAGAAAACAACCTGAAGACAAACAACTAAAATAAAGCATGATTTGACTTAATTCCTTAACCTTCAAGTTCATGACAAGACTACTGAAATCCACAACAATTCATTGTATATTCCCTCCACTCGCTATGACTATGCACCATCATTTGGAATTGCTGTCGATTACGATCGTCACCCCACACTGAAATGAGATGTAGAAGTCTCCTCTCTCATCCACTGTTTTTTTTTGGATGAACTATTTAACATTTAGCCTCACAGTGTGTTGTTTTTGTTTGGAAGTGCGGCGGCTGCCGCATAATGCTGAGTTAAACAACCGCACGGTAATGTTTCGATCTGGGCTGTTTGGGGTAATTTGAGGAAATTACAGAGATCCTTTATCCTGTACGAATTGGCCCGTCAAATCACGTACAAATTACATTACCAGACGTCCTCTGGCAAAACTAATCCCGCTCTAAAAGGGCTTAAGAGAGGTAGTGAGTAAATGTGTGTGTAATAAGTGTGATGGTCTACTAGCCTTACATTAGATGGGCTCATTTCTCCCATTACTGAATGAAAACCATCTAAATGTTTTGGGAACAGATTTGTATTCTAATTGTGGTCAAAAGGGTGCACAACAAATTACAACAAACAAATATAAAACATAATTATGTATATTGCCAACTTCTGAGATTTTGGTCAACAAAACAGGCTTCAGGTTGAAAAATGGAAAAAGTCTACAAATAAAAGTTCACCGGGACAAAAGCTAGTTTATACATTTGTGATTACAGGTGATTAAATATTCCACTGCTCTGAATTGACAGAACTTTACAAAATTTCATCTGCATTTTTGTGTACAAAAGACATGCGGCACTCATTGCAAAGAAACACTATAGAGCAACATTAATACAGATACTCAGTGTTAGTAATGTCAGTTCTCAATGCTGATGCCCAACACTGAGGATGCGGAATGTGTCGACACTTCTCTGCCTGCCAGAAGTGCAAAGTCCGGTCGCTCTCCTGGAGCTAGGCTTTGTTAATGTAGCCCTCTTTGATGAGGAAGTCATAGATTTTACGAGTTTTGTTCACGTCGATTTTGATGAGCGAGCGGGCCTGCGCCAGCCGAAGGCCGCCCTGCCGCCTGCACTCATTCAGCAGGGCCTGCTTATACTCCAGGTACGCCCCGGGCACCAGCCGCACCACCTGACACAACTGAGGGACAAATCATGAGGGAACTGGGTCAGAATCCAATCATCCAACAATATGAAGGAAGAAGTCAAGGTAGAAATATCAATACATCTGCGTAATCAGTTGCTTTGTAATTTTAAAAAATCAAAAACAAATTGTACATTGTTGTCATTTTCAAACATGTTTTTGACTGTGTGTGACACAGTGTGTGTGACACAGAATGACTGTCAATGTTGGGGCACAAGCAGCAGATATTAGAATGCTATTAAGATGACAATATTTGAACAGCAAAAATGGTTAACCGCACAGTAGATACATAGAAGAAAAGATGCTTTACCTCTTTTTCTCTCTCGTTGAGTTTTTCTGTACCTGGCAACCCTGTTAAGTTCAAAGGGGGTGCGCTTCTTCTGCCTGGGAAAAGCAAAAAATGTATTAAAAGAACAGGAAGTATGTTATGCCAATAATTCAAGGAACATCTTGACAAAAGGGACAAAGTGGTTGCACGAAGCGGACTTAATGTGTGATGTTCAATATGGCTGAAGGAAAAACAATTTCTTTTAAGAGCTTAGTGTCTTTGTTATAAGTTCTGCAGCCCGTCCTATCAAATTGGACAAAATCAAATTAATGAGCTGGAATGTAGAAAATAATTCTAAGGTTGATGTGATGCATAAATATAGCAACAGGATTGTGCACAGATCTGGCCCAGTTGTGCACTGAAGGTTAAGGAACAGCGGGAGGGAGGGAGGGAGAGAGTGAGAGTGAGAGAGAGAGAGAGAGAGAGAGAGAGAGAGAGAGAGAACAGAGAGAGAACAGAGATAGATATGCATGGCACTTGTATTTGCTGGGTGTATTTACGGCAGCACATCTCTAAGAATACATTACTGAGTTTCAGCCTGTGGCTATGTGCTGAAAAGAGAGAACAGAGAGTTGGAAAAAAAAAAAAGGATGGAGGATGGAAGAGCGATGGGTGGAATGGTGGGGGGTGGGATGCAGTGTGCAGCCACTTACCTGAGGTAGTGATGGTGGTGACCACGGGGGTAATGCCAGCATCACTGTGAGAGAAGAACAGTGTCAGTCATCAGCTGAGCTAATCACACACAGCTGCCTCTGAAGCTGCTCGAGCAGACTGACTGCACACATAGAGACTGAATCATCACTGCTCGGCACATTTCCTGCTTTTCTGCACAATAATTCAGTCCAATCTGGACAGGCGTCCATCCACTCAGCTCCAAAACTGATTAGTTAGGACAAATAAAGTAATCAAGCTGTTGAAGAAAATATCAAAGTCGGTGTGGATGGCTACACAGGACGAGGCATCTCACAAACTCAAACCCAGAACTGACCAATACCATGTAGTGGGGCATTGCAGGCATCATTCCATGGAGAACATTTTAACAAGCATTCTGGTGAGACTAAAATACAGGAGTAATTGCTGTGAAATGATTTATTTCATTGAGTTCAACAACTATGCAAATACTCCAACACTGAGGCACTATTTCTAGGTATTTGTTCAAAACTGTGGCTTAACACATCAATGTGAAAAGGTCAGTGAGTATTAAATTTGGCAGACATCATCTTTTGAGACCCCACATCTATTAGAAACAGAGTCTATTCTAAAAGCTTTATCCACTGTGAGAGATCATGTGTGTTCTACTGACTCCATTAGCCATGAAATGCTTGGACCCCGATGATCGCCACGTGCAATCCTCTAGCTCTTATTGCGGTTAGGATAGTCCACATAAATGAATGTGTTCTACATTAGTTTTAGGGGAAACTAAATTGAGGCTGACTCTGAAAGGTAGCTAACAACGACATCTTTTTCCTCCACTGTTTGAAATATAAGAAAGAAATCCAAATATACATCAGCTTAGTTCTGATTGGCCTATAAAATTTAGATACTGTATCTGTGGGCCGAAAAATAACAGTGAACACTGTTTGAGGCAAGCATGTGATGATATGGCTATGCAGTTTGCACAAAGCTAACTGACGAAGCTAAGTGTACATGGTACTGTGAACAAGTTAGAGACCTTCATCTGTTCAACTTTCAGTCAAGACAGCCGTTACATTATTCATTTTTCAGGAGATATTTCTGAGAACATCTGAAATGATAATCCTGTTGCAAAAAAGGAAAAGTCAAAGTAAATAAGTGGAAAAAACAGAAGTGCACTATCAAAACTGGAGTTTAATAATTTCCATTTACCATGAAAATACCTTGATTTGTCAAACTGACCACACTATACCCATCAGGAGACTCTTGACTCATATGGTAACCGCAAAGGCTGATACTGCAGTAACCTTTTACAAAGAATATACTGTACAGCACCTGTACAACAGAATAAAAGCATATATATATATATATATATATATATATATATATATATATATATATATATATATATATATGAGGAGAGCAGCTGGAGAAGATAAACTCACATGGCAGCCTGTTTGTGGAGCCACTGCTGGCAGGCGCGGTCGTCATGGATGTACTGCAGCACTTCACACAGCATGTTCCTTTTACTGCGCTCGTCCTCCCTCACCCGCTTCACCCGCTCATACACCTTAGCACCTGCAAAACAAATCACATCTTACTGAAGCTATTAGCAGAGAGAAAATCACTTAATGAAGCCCTGCATGTGCTAAACCTTGGCTTGGTTTTTAATAAATACAGATTGGAAAGCGATAGTCTAAAAAAAACAATGTAATAGAGACCCTTACTGCAATGCAGTACTTTTGGACAATTCATGCCAAATTAGTGATGGTTTATTTTAAAGTTCTACGCTTTGAGAATGAAACACTTTTTTCTTTTTGCCAAGAAGAAGAAAATGACATTCATCTATAATGTTGGGAAGATTTCTTTAAAGGGCATGACTTGCTCTCTTTAAATGAATAAGACACATCTATTATCAACTCAAAGGCAACTGCCAACTTTACTCTCTGTTTATTACACATACGACTCCAGAGGTTGTCATTATGTTTGTAGGAATGATAAATTATTCAGAAATTACAGCCCATTCCAATTTTACTGGACCGACGTCTTTCCAGATGTTTTGTATTAGGAATGTATGTTCTTGTTCATTTGTATGCAGTGTGCAAGCGTAAGATGGGCAGTCTTAATTACAGGCTTTGCTTTTGCTCTCAGAATCTGCTCTTAGTGCCTGACAACATGACAACCACAGACGCATCAGTTGAAGTCAAAACTCTCAGCTTGCTAAAGGCAAATGCGAGTTACATCAATGGTGAGTGACTCAAAGACGACTACGACAAGCACTGTGTATGGATCTTTATAGTTGTTAGGAAAAGTCAAGTAATGGACTTTATGGAGAAATGTAAAAGCGGAATACAAAACTAAAATATAAGAGAATTGACAATATTGGTGATGTCATGCCCTGAGATGGACTGGCAACCTGTCCAGGGTGTTTTCCGCCTTCCACCCAATGACCACTGGGATAGGCTTCAGCACACCCTTGTGACCCAGAAGGATAAGCAGTTTAGAAAGTGTGTGTGTGTGGTGATGTCATCATTTGGGCCTATGCAAAAGTTTGCAAAAGTTAACATCCTCTATAGGGAACAAATACAGCATTTTTCTGCTAATTTTAGGGCACAATTTCTATGTGTGCCTTAACTTTTGCACAGGGCACATTTTAATTTCATTTTTACTATTATGTTAAATTCAGCAAGTAAACAGTAACTGTGTAATAAAATATGCAGAAGTGTGTTCTCTGTAGAGGATGTGTTCAAGGGGTGTTCAAATTTTTACATATGAACGTGCACAACTATGTAAATGTATGATGTCCTTATTAAAGAAACAAAGTGCTGGTCTGTCTGAGGTTGAACGATGAATTTTTACTTTCAAAATCACAACTTGAAAGAGTTCAATTTTTGAACTGTAAAAAGCTGCCATTTTAATTTTAGCCCTTAATTATCAAGATCATTTTGTCATAAGGTTTAAGTGTGGACCTTTAGCATTTTAACATGAAGACCAATCAAAAGCAACCAAACACCCAACACAATCACAAAAAACTGGCAATATTCAAGCCTCAAGCCTGCCAATATATATATATATATACACACACACACACACACACACACACACACACACACATTTCACAGTTCATCTCCTGTTTCTAACAGGGTCCATTTCACATAAAATTCTTCAAATACCATAAAGGGTTACTGCACTACATCAAATTCAATGTTTTTTGATATATTTTTAAAAGCTCTAACAAAATAAATAGTAAATAACAAATAATGCACACACATATATGGCATGCATTAAATGTCTATTTTATTTAAACTTATACTCCTTATATAACTGATCTGTGCTTAGTGGTATACACTCTGAACTGTTAGATTTTACTGCTCCAACACATCACAGCAGCTTCTCCTTTCTCTCACCTTTAAACGCAGTGTTACTGTTAACATCAGTTTTAAACCAGAAACGCCACACACGACCGGTAAAGCAGAATATTTCTGCGATAGTTTGTTTACAACCGGTTGAGATTTGAGAGTGAAAAACATTGCAGGAGTTTTTCCTCTAGCCGTGCATTTGTGGGTGACGAATTGTGCTACTTTGTCAAAATGTGCTACCGCAGTGCATATTTATAGTTAGCTCCCTACATAAAACTGTACATAGGATAATCTGATAGCCTAAATAGCCATATTAGAAAATGTTTCCAGCAGTAAAATCATAAGTAGGATATTTTGGTAAATCAGGAATGGTGCAGTCCAGTCCTGGAGGGCCAGAATCCTGCACAGTTTAGCATTTTCATATTTAAATACACCTGATTCAACCCAGCAGCTAATAATTTAGCAGGTTTCCAGGACCACAGTTCACCTCCTATGGCCTAAATGGGTGGGACAAATTGTTAGAACAACTGTGCTCCTTACTGCTGCAGGCTGTGGATAATGTCTGTTCATGGCACCTCTACGTCAGTGGAATAAACAAAGTGCAAAAATGAAACAAAGGACTTGAAATGGAATATATTTTAACTGCTACCTGATTCAATAAAATATGCCTGGACTTTAATATCTCTAATAGTAAAAATAAGATATTTTCAGATATTTTTATGAAATTTCTGAATTTTTTTATATCTATTCTAAGACTTGAAGACTTTTAAAGGATACGTGGGAAACCCTGCCATACTGGACCCTTTAACTGTCAAAATTTCTAACCCAAGTCGTCCTCAAAGACGACAGATAATGGCCTGAAACCAGCCCTACATCAAGGTAGTTTTAGAATGAGAATTGAATACTGCGTACAGGAAAGCAATTCCTTATTGCAAAACTACAAGGGAGAAAACGTATTTGAGAGATTACTTATTAAATAGTACTAAACACATGAATCATCTATAGTCTTGCTATTTTATTTCACACATACTCTGTCGTTCAACTTTTGTGGAAGCAAACCTATAACAAAATGACTGACTGAAATCATTGCAAGTAGATTTTAAATTTAAATTGATTCATTTCTCAATCTTTCATGCTATTTGTCCTGGTATTTTCTCTTATCATAGTCTCATTTATCAACAACATTGTTTACAGTTGTTTATATAGCATGTAATCACAGAATATAGATATTTCATGTCATTTTCTTACAAGAAAAGGAAAAAACATGAAAAACAACAAAAATTAAGCTATGAGGTTTTGGTCCAACAAAAACGATACATGCACAGACCGGCCCCTTCATGAAGTCCATCTCCTTATATCTACACAGGACACTTTATCCATTTTATCAGCTCCATTTACTATATAGGTGCACTTTGTAGTTCTACAATTACAGACTGTAGTCGTTAGCCCCCTTTTACCCTGATCTTCAGTGGTCAGGACCCCCCCATGGACCCTCACAGAGCAGGTACTATCTCAGCACAGCAGTAACACTGACGTTGTGGTGGTGTGTTAGTGTGTGTTGTGCTGCTCTGAGTGGATCAGACACAGCAGAGCTGCTGGAGTTTTTAAACACCTTACTGTCACTGCTGGACTGAGAATAGTCCACCAACCAAAAATATTTAGCCAACAGTGTCCTGTGGGCAGCGTCCTGTGACCACTGATGAAGGACTAGAGGATGACCAACACAAACTGTGCAGCAACAAATGAGCTATCGTCTCTGACTTTACATCTACAAGACGGACCAACAAAGAAGGTGTGTCTAATAACGTGGACAGTGAGTGTTTTAAAACTGATAATAATAAACCCAAATATTACCTGCTCTGTGGTGGGGTTACAGATTTTGCATTGAGCATTTTTTACTACTGCTTTTCTCAAATGTAAAGTAATCCAACACCACTGAAGTGCTGGTTTACTGACATGCACGTGTGTGTTATTCAATAGTGCATACGCACATCAGAAATTGTTTTGTGCTATCGGTATTTTCTATTGCTAATACTGATATCGTATTTTTGTCCCAGTGTCAGTGCAATGCTATTTTTGCGAATAGTGGAAAAATTCTGTATCTTTACATCAACATATCTGATGGATTTGTTACCAACCACTAAAATATTACAGATGGCCACTTGTGATTTGAAGGACTGTTGATTTAGGAGACTGTGAACTTCCGTTCTCAGTGAGCCAGTTGGTATATTTGTCAAAACTGGCATTTAAATATTAAATACAAATACTGCAAAGCAACCTGAAGTGACATTTATTTAAAGGATATGAAAATGTTATTAAATTCTTAATTTATAATAAGGTTATAACTAGATAAATATCACTTAAAAAAAGGTAAGAAATTTGTGAGAAAGCTCTCTATTGTACTGTATTCATTTTCTATACAAATGGAACTAAACTGAAGGGAACTCCGTCTGGTTTAATTATTACATTCAAAACTCCTTCTTAAGTAAACTGACACCTCAATGATATTAATTATATGTTTGCACCCTCTATATTTCAGCCTTTATGCTTGGATTCGATTTGATTCATGTCCTTTGAAAGGAACAGAAGCGTGCTATTTTGATTATTTTTTTCAGGGCAGCAGGGTTTGTGTTTTGGTGAGTAATGGCAGGCGCAGGCCTCGGGGGAGACAGGCTTTGTGTTGATCTTACCACAGAAAGACTGGATGCCTTCCCTTCTGTATTCCTGTAGCCGTCGAATCTCCCTCCGCAACTCAAACTCCACTAAGAGAGAGGCAGAAAGAGAGGAACCCAGTTTACCATTTATACTCACTGCTGACTGTTGTGAACTTTTCACCCCACTAGATCCAGAGAGCTGTTGCTGTACAGACTGTTGGTATCTAGACACACAATGAGCGAGTGAATCTGTTCCCATGACCCAGCTCACAACCCAACACTCTCTCATAACACATTAAATAATAACATGCACATAGGGGAGCTAGTCACTAGATAGCATCGGTTTATACAGCCATTCAAATCATGCAAACAAATAAAAATGTTTACAGCCTGTCAGAAGCTGAGGACAATAGATTCTTCTGAGATTTGAGTTTTCTCATAGTTACTTCCAACAAGTGAGAAAAATGTTAAATAAATTTCTTTAAAGATGTTAAAGAAAAAATCCTGTAACAAATCTAGCCTGAAATAGCAAACACTGATATTGACTGATATGTTAACTTTCCAAAAGTTTAAAAGCCAACAACACTTTCAAATAAGAAATATCATGTTGTTATTGGCCGAAGTTTCAATACTCGTATCAGCAAAGAAAAAGTGGTAGCATTCCACCTCTATCGCCTTATCTTTAATATTTACTGCAAACTGACAAAGGAAACATTTTCATTCATTAAAAAAGCTGAAAAGCTTAGTGTTCCCTCACTTCTGACATCTATTGCAAGACAAATTCATATTAGGTTGTATGTAATGCAGAGTAGCGTGCTGGGTTAAATACTCACGAGCATGGCTCTCAATGAACTTGTCATGCTCGACCGGTCCTACCACCCTGGCAAATCGCCTCATGGCATCATACAAGTCCTGCACCTCCTTCGGGTAACGTCGCTCCAGTACTGTCAACATGGACAGACAGACAGACAAAATGAACCTCTCATACTCACAGAAGAAACACAGCCAACATCCTTACTAAACATAAAGCCTGTTTTTGACTGTGGCATAGAAAAGAGTCCTGCTGTGCCCACTGGCTCAGTAAACATCTCCCTGATGAGCTTTCATGCAGCACAGAATTCCATTCAGGCCCCTTGAAGGCTCCAACTAGCAGATGCATCTGAGAAGTGTCTCGCTGCCACTGCTGGTTAATAGGCAGAGAGAGTGAGGTGTGATTGGGGTGAAAGAGGAGGTGTTAGTGTGCTTCTGCTAGCTCTGCACCATGTGTTTCATGGAGAAACATGCAAAACAGAAAAGGGACCTTCTCAGCCCCAAGCATTTACCTCTGTTTTCCTAAAGAGAGCTGAATTAACAGTAGTGAAAATAATAATATAATTATAATTTTAATTAGAGATAGCACTAACCCAATAGCCAGTAACAGCATCGGGTCAATACCAGCAGGGCTGGATCACATTACAGAGGTTAAAAAGAACCTGATCTGATTGTGTAACAAATCTAGCCTCATTTAGCCCAATGTTAAAGGAAAACTGCACCATTTTTTAAATTTCTGCATAATTACATCATTCACATTTACAATTTTGAAGAAATCAGTAGAATTTCCCTTCAACATAATAACAATGAGTAGACTGAGTGTTGCAATTAGAGATGGCGCCAGTCTCATACAAAGTATCAGTATCAGGCCATTTCATCTGCCGAAAATGCTGAATTGGTATCTGAGGAAAAACAGAATGAATGTAATCCAATTCTGTAACACATCTATCTGGAAATGCCACTCACTCACACTGTGTGATGTGATGTTGCTGTGTATTTCTTCCTGTGGGGTAGTAAGGTGAGCATGATACACTACTTTTTAGATGCCCATCTTAAGTGAATTGCTTCAATTAAAATTAGCTCATTTTAAAGTTGTTTTTAAAGGTGCAGTACATAAGATTTAGAGGGATCTGTTAGCAGAAATGAAATATAGAATACAAAATCATGCTTTCATTAGTGTATAATAACCTGTAACTACAAATCGTTGTTCTCATTAGCTCACAATGAGCCCTTCATATCTACATAGGAGGCAGGTCCTACAGTAGCCCAGCATGGACAAACCAAACATTGGCTATAGAGAGTGCTTTTCACATTTTTATGTTGAAGCGGCACCTTAAATTTGGTTGAGCTATAGCACTGGTCACAAGATGTAGAAGGAAGAATCAGTGGTTGCTCGCAGCGCTGGCTTATAATTTTGTGTTGTGATAAGTTTCAGAAGGCAAATTTTGACAAATCTAGGGTCAGACTTATTATTTACAAAAAAGCAAGGGAGAATGAATCTTCGTCGTCAAAGAAACAAAAACGTGACGGCCACCACAGATTCTACTACACCATTGGAAAGGGTGGTGTGAGGGAGGGGAATTCTGTTGATTGCAATCTACAACCTCACCACAAGATGCCACTAAATCTTACACACTGCACCTTTAAAGGAAAAAAAAAATTCAGTTTAAGTTTTAGAAAAGAAAAAGTGACACTCTGCCATCTCTAGCTAAAACTGAAAATAACAGCAATTTTGGCATGTTCTGTATTTCTGTATAGGTTATTGTATTATATAAATAGAGTACTGCGCCATCCGTTAAGTGCAAGTTTCAGACTGAACGCTATGGATCTGAAAGGATGTGTAGAAGAGCAGCTGTTACTGAGGAAAGAAAATAGACAAGAAAGAACACTTGCAAATCAAACAAGGAAGCGGCTGGTGTTCTCAGAACAATGGACTGACCACCCCAGAGTCCAGACCTCAACATCACTGAATATTTTTGGGATTACTTGGATTGTGAGCCAGAAAATGCAAGCAACTTCTAAGACAAAGCTTTGGAGGTGTGGAAAAACTGCACATTTCCTAGAAAAACTGAAAGCAAGACTCCTGAAAAAAACGCTGTAAAAATAGCAAAGGGTGTACATAATACCAATAAAAGTAACATTATCATTTTTTAAGTTGCCGGAGTAAGTTTCAGCCAAATTTGTTTTCTGTTTCTGTTTTTTTTCTCTTTTTTAGCCAATGCTGAAAAATGAACATTTGTATTTATTGGCCATTTTGATGGGAGGTTAAATAAAAGAAGGGTCTTTGACTTTTGCACATTCCTGTACATATATGTAACTTGTATTCTTATGGTTTCCTTGGTTTCTGGGACCCTATGCAGTTGCCTGCTTTTGCTTAGTGCAAAGTCCACCCCTGCAAACACATACACAGTGATCCGTAACAGATATCCAGCAGTGCTGGGCTCTGCACTTGGTTCAATGCGCACAGCAGAGAAGCGTGAGGGCTAATGGCCTTGAGACTGAGCGTCAGGTCAAGCTGCTTCGCTCTCCTAAAGGGGATAAACCAGCACTGCTGTGAGCCATGAAGCCTCGGCCACTGCTTTACTGTGCGCCTCTCGCAAACATACACACACACAATTTCAGACAGTCTCCATGACAACCTGCCTGCAGCTCCACGGTAACTATTGGCTCTCTTTTGTCTTGAGAGAGCAGGAGATAAGGAAGGTGGCAGAGGGCTGATAAATAAATAAACAGAAAAGTCGGCCTTGTGCATCCCTGTGCTCAATGCTGTTCGTGAAAACACCATGGAGGTTTCTGTCTAAAAAACAAAAACAAAGAACAACTGGATTGGATAAACATTCATGGCTAGCAGAAATTGCTGTGACACGAGTGGGGGGGGCTTCCATTTACTGATAGCTCTGACCCTCGTGCTCCTGGAGAGTACAGATGAATGGAAGCTCATGAAGCCGCCATCTCTTTTATCATTAGAGGCAGGGTGTTCATTTCATGGTGGACTATTCATGGAAGAGCAATTATGGCCATTGCATGCCGCTCTGGCACTGGTCCAATCGGACTATTCTCAGCCTTCGTCGTAAATGCTCGCACGCTAATGTTATGGTGGTCAGGGAGATTCATTTCATATGAGCAGGCAAAGATCTGTAGATGTGCGTGCAGCTTTAGTAATCTGAGTGTGACTGGTACCAGGATTGATAGCACTGAACAATGACGCATTGTTTAATACCTGAACATTTGGTACCTATAATGCTCGCGTGGTGCCCTATAACCTTATATTGTCCGCTCTAGTCATTGTGATGATAGTGTCAAACAGTGTGATGACAGTGTAACAACTCTGAAGAAGTCTTACTCTGAAACTTGCGCAGGTTTATGAGTCCATGGTCCCGAATGATCCTGAAAGAAACAACAAAGTTTCAATGTTTCAGTGTACAAGTGGAAAAACTGGACAAACAAGCTACAACCTGCCTGTGAACGGTTAGTACAGTTGAGCTTTAAATGAGTACTCAATGGCAATTTAATTAACATTAATTCCAGGTTAGGGCTGAACAATATAATCTGATAATCGTTATTGTAATATTAGTCTCGCCTAATGTCAGAGAGTCTGGTGCATTTTGTCGAGGGGAAGAACAACCTACTTTGACAGGAAAGGGCCTCTGACAGAGAAGCAAAATAACCAACTAGGGCTTTTTCTTTATTGTGTGTTGTGAGTGGGCCTGTCATGATCATAAAATTTTACCCTATACTTAATTTTCATATACAAATCTCAATTCCAAAAAGGTTGGGACAAAATAAATAAATTTAGCAAATAAAATAAGCAAATATATGCAAACCAAAAGCTGCAACTGAATGCCCATGACTTTCGATCCCTCAGATAGCACTGCATTAAAAAACAGCTTCCTTCTGTGATGGATATCACCACATGCACATGGCTCAAGAATACTTTGACAAACCGTTGTCAATGAACATTATTTGTTGCTGCATCCACAAAAGCAAGTTAAAACTGTACTATACAAAGCGAAAGCCATATATCAACAACTTCCAGAAATGCTGCCGACTTCTCTGGCCTTGAGCTCATCAGAAAAATGGACTGATACACAATGTAAACATTAGTCAACCTTCCAGACTGTTTACAGAAATGATGTGAGTGGCCCGGTTGTGTTCTCCAAAAAGGACCATCCAAATTGTTACCAATGTAAAGTTCAAAAGCCAGGGTCTGTCATGGTATCGGGGGTGTATTAGTGCCCATGGCACTATCATGTACATCTGTTATGGCTTAAATATTCACATTTTGGAGCAACATTGCCTTTTGGACAATGTCTTATTCAGGGACATCTATACAACACCAAGCCACACTGCATGTGTTACAATAGCATCACAGACAGTGCGGGTCCTAGATTGGGCTGCCTGCCTGCTATCTACCATTGAAAACATGTGAAGCGCAATGAAGCGCAACGTATGACTACATAGGCCCTGAACAGTTGTGCAGCTGAAAACCTGTATTATTGAAATGAAGGAAACTGGATCAGCTGGCGTCTTCAGTCTCCAGACAATTATCAAGTGTTGTTTTAAGGAAACGTGATGTAACACAATGGTAAACATGCTCCTGTTTCAACTTTTTCTGGATCGTGTTGCAGGCATTTAATTATATACTTGTCCCAAAAAAGTTAAATAGGCAAAATGTCAAATATTCTGTTTTCGAAACTGTCTTCAACTAAATACGGTAAAAAAGAATTCACTAACCACCGATTTCTGTAGTTATTAGCATTTCAACTTTTCTTGGAAGTGAAGATTCTAATTATTGTTTGTAAATATTACTCAATATTAACCACACAAGACTGATGTGGCTGTAAGTTTTCAATCAAATCAATATCATATCACTGATTCACCAATTAAATTATTTCAAGGCGAATCACAGCTGCAATATGTAGCAATATAATCACAACATTAGTGCTTTGTCCATATTGTGCAGCCCTACCCTAGGTTTAATGAAAGTATTTGATATTAAGTTGTGTACTTGATAGCAGTGGTGACATGGCTCAGTGTGGTCAGTGAGGCTCTGTTATATGAGCCAGCAATCTAGGATCTGTTTTTGTATCTAAAGTCACCATAAAGGAGGAGAGTAATAGATTCTAGTTCAGCCCATCTTCTGTGAGGATCTTCATCAATTTAGACAAGGGCTTCAATCTCATTCCCAGCAGGAAGGCTAAGAGAACAGCAGTGGCCTCGGCCCACTGCGCTCAAAGTGCACACGTCAAAGGGACCTTGCATACCTCAGCTGCCATAACATGCTGCTCTACTTACCCTAGACAGCTACGGCTCATTAAAACTGATTTACACCCAGATCCTTTACAGTAAACATCATCCGGGGCAACTCAGCTATGCATCAAACGCAAACAAGCCCAACGTTGCTATGTAGGCTGCACTGGTAAAGTCACCAATCATCAGGAATGTATAGAAAACTAAACACAGTCTTCCAGGGAATTTCAACCAAAGCAAACTGTCTTTTCATACTTCGTTTTTTGATCAGGCAATCATGACATCCACATCCGCGTGCTAGAAAAACGGCTGACATTCAGGAAACAGTAAGGCATCCGACACCCTCTAGTGGTTCTCAGGTCAGAATTCAAGTATATTTCAAACTCACTTTTTCCTTCGCTGTCTCTCTTTCAGTCTTGAATGGTATATGTCCACAACCGCAACTTTAAGAGCTACAACAACAAAGCAGATTATACAGGTCATTTTACATGTCATTTGCATGATCTGCATGCTGAATGACAAAAACAGTAACAATATATTGTTTAATATTTAAAATGACACATTAAAATATTTAAAGATATTAATTAATTAACTTTAAAAATAAATATTTTAACACTATGAAATGATAAACTTTTGACTGAAGTGAAAAAAGATTTCACAATTATTGGCACCCTTAGCACTAAAGTGCAGTGTGCAGGTCAATGGACAAATGCTGGTTTTGTACTCCAACACACTAGATCTAAAATTTGTAAAACATAATTTAATAAAGATGATGTTATTTTGTCTGATAGATCTCACAAACTAGGGGAACTACATAAAAAACAGGTGAGACCCGTACACATTGGTTCAGCTAAAACAGAACCTGATGTTCTGCACTTCATTGTTTCATTCAGAGTGCTAGTGTTCAGAGCCAAAACAACAACAAAAAAAATGCCATTGTTCAAATACTTACAGACTGCACTGTTTTTCCAATGTTTATAGAAAAGAGAAAACAATCTGGATGGATATTCATCCAAGCAAAATTATCCAAAACATTTTATATTCCTCGATTAGTGCTTTTGTATTGCACCACTCTTCAATCTGCACCATGTTTTTTAGTAGAATACAGTATGAGTTTTGATTATTGACTTAAAAGTGCTCATATTAGAAGTGGACATTTTATCTGCTGTGAGGTGAACAAGGTAATAAACACCTGTTTCTTTAGATTTGACTGTTATTTGTTCTGGTACATCACATGCATTTTACCCACTTGTTTTATTGAGACGAGCAACATTTATAACATAGCTTACTGTAGAGAGAATTAATAATCAAGCCTTATTTGTTTGTGTGTATTACTACCAGAGTTTACATTCAGCTTGTTTTCATAAAGGGTGCCAATAATTTCATATCTGGCTTTGTTTCTCTGCCTTTATTGCACTTACCGTGAAGAATATCAGAGTCGTCGTCTACAAAATCAATATCTTTCAAATCCCATTCCGCATAGTTATCAAATTCCTAGCATAAGACATAACGAGAGAAACTGCATTAGTCATTTACTGAAAAATAACAGGCATTCACAAGGTTTTCTTTCTGCTATGTGGCTAATACAAAATGCATGGTATGCTGAAAGAATGCACTATAAGAGTGCTATATTCAATTGCATTTAAATACATCTTTATTATACACATAAACAAGTGTAATATATAACATACATCTATCAAAGAGCATCAGTTTAAAACATTTACCCTATAGGCTACTTGGTAAGTCCTTGTGAGTGCAGATATATGGTGGGCAGTTAATTTAATGTAAACATGTTTGCTTTCACTCTCCCGTATGTTCCTAAGTTCCTGCAGGTTAATGATTCCCAGACCTTTGAGGCCTCCTGTGGTACAATGCCTCGTCCATTTGCCAGACTTATAATTAGCCACAACATCTAAAATGATGCAGACGAAAAAAAAAAAAAACGGCTTAAGTATAAAAAGTAGACGCTGTATATCACTCTCTTCTTAATGGTCCGTTTCACTGCTTTTGCATCATATTCTTACTTAATATCTGTACTCAAACTGAATTTTATCTTAAACAGGCTCACTACATTTATAAACGATCTTATGAATTAATAAATAAATATATAACACTCACAGAGCCTGCATGCTTTGTTTTTTACACTTTTAATCTTGCCGGAATCAATCGTTATCAGCAGAGGGCAGTACAGAGCTGTGAAACTATGAGGTTTGAACACTCCAGTTCAAATATGTGTTGTTGATTTTCTAAGTGAAAATAAGTTAACACATTCTCTACACAGAACACACTTAAATATGGCATTTTTCTGCCGGTTTTAGTGCTCAATTTCTAGTTATTGGCTGAGTTTAACAAAACAAAACATACAGTTTAAATTTGTGCCAAACCTTTTTATATTTCTATGTTAAATTCACCAAATTAACAGTAGATGTGTATAAATGTGCAGAGGTGTGTTCTCTGTAGAGGATGTGTTCTTATTTTCACTTTGGCCAGGAGTGCCCAAATATGACTGTACACACAAAGTGTGATTGTGAATGCTCTCCCAGTGAAAGCATTTAAAACAGAATGCTGTGTATCACATAATGCACCAATATATACACTGTACACTGCACACTACTTCTCATGGTAATATAAAGAATAGTACACGGTATGCAACAATTACTGTCATGTGCCGTGTACCATACTACAGGGTCACATGACAACCAATGAATATGTTGCACTATGGGATGCAGAAGCCAGCATCACAAAGATAACTCTAGCTGCATACTGAAATATGATGTCAGAGTAAAATTCCACCTGGGACTGAGAAATACTACTTACTATTCTTGGGCACATTCAGTGTGCAAGCAGTATGAAGCAGGCTACTTTGAACACAGTCAATGTGTCTGAATTTTACTAAAGCTGTATCTTATCACAAAATCTGTGCATTCTAATTATGTTCTGCTTGCTTACAGACTAAGAAAGACCAAAGAAATAGTAAGGATATACATGTGCTGAAAAACCTGATTACTGAGCTTAAATCCAGCTCCCTTTATCGGATTTCTAGGCCTTAATCCAATCTAAGAAATCCAAGTATGCTGTTTACATGACCACTTGAATAATCAGATAACTGACGGATTATTAAACTGACTGGATTATTAAGTGCATGTAAATGCACTCAATGCTATAGAGCAGGGGTCACTAATCTTGTCCACAAAGGTCTGGCTTGGCTGCAGGTTTTCATTTTAATCAAGCAGAAGCACATCTGATTTCACTTATTTTATCAAACAACTGGTTAGTTATATGAGGTTTGCTTCTGTTTGGCTGGAATAAAATTGTACAGCCACACCAGCCCTTAGTAGGGAACTGGTGATCCCAACTATAGAATCACTAGGCGAACTCTGGAGGAGAGGTGAAACAGTTTTGTTCTGTAGGTAAACATCTTTGGTGTTTGAAGAAAGTTGCTATGATTGCTGCCATTGTTGAAGGAAACCTCCTATCAACACGCTTCTGAGATTTACACCTGCATTTAAAAAGTGGAGCAAATCAATGCAAACCTCTAAGACAATATATAATATGCCGTACTTACAACATCTCCACCCATTTTTTGCTGAATCTTACCTCCACTGTGTATATATGAGAGAGAGAAATACATTTTGCATGCCACATAAACTGCATGTTTATGCTTATATGCCAGTTTTGTACATGCACGTTTTTTGGGCAAAAAGCATCCAATTTACGCCTGAAATTGGCATAAGAGGCTCTGTACATCTGGCCCTGATTGGTTCATTTTCAGTTCCAAACCACCCCTTCACCTGCTTTGAAAACCATGCCACATTCTCAGGGCAACATACTGGAAAAGTCAAGTTTTACTGGGTAATGTTATAATCAGTTCTTGAAGGGGAATTCCACTAGTTTTTAAAAATACTACATGATTAAGATGTAAACAAAGTTATTTAGAGTGGTCTGGTGTGAAATACTCTGTTCTAGAGGAACTTATTGTGTCAAAATTGTTTACAGTGGTGATGACAGGAACCAGAAGTCTAAAGAGTTTAATACAGCTAAACGATCCCTCACAGAACGTTATTGCATGAAATGGTTGAGAATACACTACCTGATTCCTGAGACATTGTTTTATGATAGTTATGAGATAAGCTTCTGGTCTAAATCTTATTTTTTATATATATTTATGGAAGAGAGGTACATGCAGGACATTGTGAGGCAAAACTCATTAAAAAAACAGAAGACGTGCAGACTCATTGGTGGTTTTGTTGTAGACACTGCAACCCACCACCACTTATCACCACCACCGTGTGTCAGTAAGTTTCTCTACAAATAACCATTTCACATCGAACCACTCTGAATTACTTCTGATTACATCTCAGTGATTGAATTATGCTGAAATTTTGAAAAATCTCAGGAACTCAACCTTTAAGCAAATTCTACATAGTACCCATTGAACGGCACACCTTGTCAATGTTTATGTGCTTTCATGCAAAGTATATTAAGGTTAAGTGTGGCAAAAAAGGACTTGAACTTCAGCATCCTAAATGCACTGACATAAAGAGCTCTTTGTTAGTTTTGAAGCACATTTACAAAAATCCTGGGCAAATTCCAGGTGTCTGATTACAATGCTTGCTATCTTCAGGCAAATGTTTTTGGCAAAGCTGCATTCAGAAAACAGCACACTGACCTCCATGAAGTCTGCTCGAGCAGGCATGTACCCAGCCATATCTCTGGACAGCTGAGAGTCAAAAGAGGGTCTAGGAGGATCATCAGTGGCTGATGAGAATGAAGAGAAAAAATTATAAACCAGTAATAACATTGTTAAGTTGAAGCCAAAGTACTGAAGGTATTTTAGCAAATTCACATGTTCTGCTTGTGTGTCACTCCATGATCAAGACTCTACCAAAGTACATTAATGGCAGCCAAGTGAATTCAAGTACTCCGGTTTTAAAAACATATTGGACTGAAAAAAAAACCTGATGCTAGTCATGCATGCAGAATAAATTACAGTAATTGTTACTGTGGATATGCAGGTGTACGTTATGATATCTCCTGCTCTAATGCTGATAAAGGATGAAGATACAGTTGTGTAAAAATTAAATGTACCCAATTTTCCCCTTATTAAACATAACACTGCAAACTGCATGTCTACATCATCACACACTAGCCTCAAATCATGTCAAGTTGTTATGTAATCTCAAATAAACCTGCTTAATCAGTCTGACACTGCAAAACAAACTCTTAATCTATAAAAACGGGCAAAAAACAAAACAGCAAAAAACAGTAGTAGCAGCAGTTATCTTGAACACCGATTTTTATCTGTAACACATGTCTGAAACCACATCAGCAAGTCTTTTTGAGATTATTTACCACCTTGTTGCAGTCTGAGGCGAGTGTTATTATTTAGGCACGCAGTTTGAACAATGCTAACTGTTGATCTTAACCATAGGCAGAGTCAACCTTGCATTTTAAATAACAACAACTGTCTGACACAGTACTGATATTATTGACCATTCCCAAGTAAACACTGTTGGGGGTCTCTTACGTTTGAATGGGATAGCACTGTCTGCTGTCCGAGCCTCCTCCATCTGCCTGAGACTGAGCAGAGTGGAAGAGAAGAGAGGGTTGTTGATGAAGTTCTTCATGTAGTGGCTTTCACACTCCTCCTTGGTCTTGGTGCGCATTTGATAAGCCACATCCTGCCTATAAAACCATGAGAATTTAAATGAATACTATATCATCCTTTGGCCATCGGTGAAACTAGTATCTCACCCAGTAGAAATGTGCTCAACATACATGTGTGGCACTGTGAGACAAATAAACTGATAACACAGATAAAAATACTGTAACATGATTGTTAATTTTTTGGTTTACTTTAACAAGGTACAGTAAATTAAGATGGCAATTACATGTTTTTTCTAAAATGAGACTTATTCAGAAATTCATGATGCCCATAAAAAGTCTGGAAACAACCTCCCTTCTTTTGAAATGTTGCATGCATTGTCTGATTTTTGCCATCTCTATGTAAGAAAATACATGCACAAAGGTTTTGTTACAGTAGAAGAGCTATATTTGGTTACAACACGCAACTTCATGTACAATCCCACCACCTACAAATGGGTGCAAGGTTTGAGTGCTGAGTGCTGACATCACAACAAGGGGATAACATTTATTCCCAATGTGGTGCTTGTGTCAGTTTCAGTTTTCAAAAAGAAAAACTGCATGACTGAGACAGATTTCTTTGTTGTTGCCGAAAAAGAATATCCATGTAACTAAGAGATTTATTATATTTATTAAAATATTTTTGAAAAGATTCTGTGTATATGTTGTATAATGAAGTGGCTAGCATGTGTTGATATCAACATCACAGCCTCCTCTTCTGAATCCTACATACTTGATAAACTCTTTCAGAAGATATGATCATTATTTGGCTAACACCTACAGGAAAATACATATAAGGTGTCAACTATACTGACCAATTTCCAAAACCACAGTCCATGACAGCCTCCAGGAGGGCCATCTCCTCTTGAGCTGTCCAGCCAGGCTCAAGTATGGGAAAATCTGATGTCTAGGAAAAAGAGAAGGTTTCAGCTGCAGAACAGTTTTCTTTTTTCTCCACTCATAGATAAAAAAAAAACATAAAAACAAAGTGCTGGCTTGTGGATTGTTCACTGGAAATTCTACAACAGGCTTCACTTTACTTACCATGATCTCATATTTGTGGTCACTCTGGTGTTTTTTATACTCATAGCCCCTTGTAAAACACTGTAACAGAAAACAAAATAAACTATACTTGCATCATATTTGCCAGTATCTGCAGTGCACAGTTGATTAACTCAAACAATACATTTTTATATATTTCCCTGTTCGCTTGAAACTTAATAGAGGCCAATGGCACTCAAGGGTGAAAAGAGCTTGAGCTTTCCTTTAACTCTCCTGTTGTTCTCACATTTACTAACAACTTTTATCTTTGAGGTCGACTTGACTCGAGCAATTTATACCTCTGAGAAATAAAGTTCTTGTGGGAATTATGTTTTCCCCTCCATGATGTATCTATCAGTGGTTCTTTCACTACTACAGGGTTGGTTATGTTAGGTTAGGGCTCTAAAGCAGAGTGAAGTTTTTTGAACATTATAATTTTGCATGCTACCATCAATATCATCCAAAACCACCAAAACAAATGTGTAAAATGTTGATATTACATGTGTACAGGACACTGAAAACACATCATGTTAATTGTATGTTTACTCAGTTGTCCTCATTAAATTACGAAAAGTCATTAAACATTAAATGGGGTCAAATTCACCCCAAAAGATAATAGGAGGGCTAAGACATTTCTGGACAATGCACAATATAGCTTCCACACAAGTCAATGATACCCGCTTCAGAATCACACCTGAAGACAGAGGAGAAAAGGTGATGGTCCACATTCAGCACACTTTATGTATGGTTCCACCAAATATGATGAACATCCCCGACAAGGAGGCTTGTCAAAAGGGTCATCTGCAGACAAGAATGATTAAAAATGCTCAGGGATTGTTCTCATCACACAGTATCATCAGTCAATTCTACAGCACAAACTAATTTACAGTACACTTGTCACAGAGGCAGCAGAGGTGAGGCTTTATTGCCTCCCACAATAAGACAACAAGACATAAAGATATCAGCATTAAACTTTTTACCAGGGAGTCACCAAACTATGTCTGTTGTGGGCCAAAGGGCAACACAAAATACAAATTCAAAAGAAAAATAAGAATTTAATACATTACATTCTGTATATAATTACAATTGTTCTCTCTTTGGGTAACTTTTTCTTGGGCCAAATCCAACGTCCTCACTGGTCAACTTTGGGGAGCCCTGTTTTAAACTCACCGGCCACTTCATTATAAACATCTGCCTTACAGGTCCAACTTTGAGCCAACTTCTAGAATAATCAGCAGTCAGTTTCAGCCCACAGAACCACTACTACCTGGATATATTTGGCTTGTGGACCATTCTCAGCATGTCAGTGACACTGCTGTGCCTGATACACTCATGCCACTTATCACTTCAGTGGCACTGTGTTGAGAATGGTCCACCTAAAAACATCTTGTCCTGTGGAGCTGACCAATGATTGAATGCAGCAGAGGGTAGCTAATAAACTGAGCATAATGAGCTACAGTCTGTAACTGTACACATATATAGTTAGCGGTCCTATAAGTTAAGTTAGTAGGTGGACCTCATAAAGTGGCCAGTGAGTGGAAAGAAGAACTTAAGTGCCTCCTAATGCAGTGAATACTGAGTCTCTATAGCGCTTCTCTAAACTCAGCCAGCACATGACTTCACTTATTGATTCTTATGTAGAAACACTTCTAGACTACACTGCAAAAGGAAGCTTAACGTGACTGACAAGACCCCTTTGTCCACACTGTTTAGCTAGCGGGCTGCTGGCTTTCCATCTAATCCAACTGTGTCCTCTCCCGTTACTGTTTGGTTACACCTGACTCAGAGGAGCTAGATAAACAATAATATTCACGCACTTCTAAGACAATACTTACTTCCAAAGGATGTGAGGCGGTCCATATTTCTGTTTAAAGGTGAACAGATTTACTTAATGTTTACTGCCGTAATGCAGCCGGTAGCTTTTTGTTGTTTTCAGGCTGGTTTATAGCTACTAATGTTACATTAGCTATTAGCAAAGCTAAGAGCTAAGCTAGTCTGATAGGGTCAGACTGTCGCGCTGTGCTGCTGGTACATCGGCCCCGCATTTACAAATGGAGCACAGAACAGCAGAAACGATGTGTAAAATGCACATTTAATGTTTAGCAGCGCATTACAGAGATATAAGACTCTCGCTAGCTGCTGGTGCTCGAGTTAGCAGAGTTGCTAACAAGCAAAGAGCCATGCAAAAGAAGAGCTATCTTGAAGTAGCGCTCCCTCTACCGGCGCCTGCGGTGCCTGCACGACCATACATGAAGGCAACATCATCCATGTGCTGTCGAGGTAGATTCACAGAACACAGCAGAGCTTTGCAACAGACGTGGTCTACGTAGCTTTACAGAAGCCTGGACGTCAAAGAAAAGAAAAAAAAAGACTGTTTAAGGCCAATTCCACCAATTTTTCAGTCCTTGAAATGTAAACAGTCATTCAGAGAGGTTTGATGTGAAATGGTTCATTGTAGAGGAACTTATAGACTGTTTTTTTTCTACAGTGGTGGTGATGGAAACCAGGGGAAACCATGCCTACAACACAAAAATAGCCATTTTATTTACTATACAAAACCACCAGTGAACCTAAATCTGTCTTCTGAGCTTTTATAAATAATGTTGGTGATGGTAAAAATGGTCATGAACCTGAAAAGAAAAGGTTTTCCTTGGGGGCTGTTTTGCCTTGCAATACTCTGCATGTACTCCTCCACCACTGAAGGATTAAAATACATAGATTAAAATACGTTTTAACCCAAAACTTGATCACTAAACTTTCATTAAACAATGTGTCAGACAGCAGGTCACATATATCTAATTATTTCATGTAGCAACTTTCTGTGAGGGAGCTCTCAAAGGTATTCACCTCTTCAGATGTCTGGTTCCTATCACTACCACTGTGAAAAATTCTGACTCAGTAAATTTCTCTAGAATGGAGCATCTCACACCAAACCACTCTGAATGACTTTGTTTACATCTCAACCATTTAATTATGTAGATTTTTTTGAAAAATCGGTGGAGTTCCCCTTTAACTCAGATTACACAACAGAAAAATCTGTGCGATAAGGCAGTTACCCCAGTTAAAAGTCAGGAAACTGTCAGAAAAGGACCAGATAGACCAACTGGATGTACAAGGTGAGGGATAAAGCACATGGTAGGTAAATTCAGTATGAGTGCAAAGCAGGATTACAACATCCAGAAACAGTTAGGAGTTCATGTAGGGGTTTGCAGCCATGAAGGTAACTGGAATTCGAGAAGGGTGTGATGATAGACTATCTGTACTATTAATATGTTTTGCACAATTATAAACATGCTAACAGCTGGGATAGGCTCCAGCACCCCACCGCGACCCAGAAGGATAAGCGGTTTAGATGATGGATGGATAAACATGCTACGAGAAGTGCTTGTCATCTTGGGAGCACAGGGCTACTGAATACATATTATTAAGTTGGTTGTAATGTGGATGTCAGTTTTGCACAGTTTCTTAGGTTTTCAAATACATAATATTCATAAGTACATAACCCTGGAGCCAGCCTGTGCTAGACAAGGCAGGAGCAGACAGAAATAAATAAATGAATAAATAAACTTAAGAAACTAACACAAAAATGTCAAAGGACCTATCTCTGAAGTATAGAAATTCATCCTACTTTAATCATTGTCTCACACAGTATATTAGTGAAGAATAATTAAATGTTTGAAAATGTATTTAGCCACAGTCTTTGGACTGGGTATGCTGGTTCAACGATTGTATGATGAATACTCAGATTTCAGTATGTTGGACTAAAGTAACTGCCACTCAATGTCTGAAGTCAGTTGGTAGTTAGAGTGCTGGCTGGTTATAGTTGAAGGAATAGTTCAGTAAAAAAAAAAAATAATATATTATTATCTTCCTCGAGTCAGTCAGCCAAGATGTCAGCCAAGAAGTTTGCTCCTTTTTAGCACTGGAGCTACGAGGTCAGTGTAGGTAACAATCAACTGAATCTTAGCTGCAGTTAGCATAGTGCATTCCTAAATCATTACACAGTTGCCTTGCATGTTAAGTGATTAAGTAACCTCAAGGCAACTAGTTAATGGTTTCTGACGCTGTATGACATACTGTTATTTATAAAACTGCACAAATGTATGGATTTTTACACTTGAAGATGGCTGCTTCTGTTTTTAGCTATGAAACTGTTTTTGCCTAGGTGCTGTTTTTAGCTATGGGATGTATTTAGTGTTAATTTTTGCATAGTATGGTGCAGTTTGAGGCAAATGTGTGATGATTTAGGCAAGCAAAAAGCTAACTGGTGGAGCAAATGTTTCTATTCCTTATTAGCAAACATGTCTTGGCTACTAATCTTACTATTAACTGCTCAGAACGATTAGTTTTAAGGTAATAATTGATTGTAGTCACTAGCTACAATCAAACTTCTGCCCAGAATGCATGTGTGCAAAATACCTCCTGGTATTCAGGAGGTCTCATGTTGGCTGGCTACTCCAGCGTTGGCTGGCTGTTAACTCGCTCACCGCAGCAATGCTGAGGTTTGTTTTCACAATTCTTCCTTTGGAAATGCTCTTTTCTAGTTTGGTAATGTGGTCTTCCACACATTCATTGAGAACTTATATCTCCTCTTTCATCTTCGATTTGAGAAATGAGTAACAATTCACACTTTCCACCAGTCTGTTGGGAAATTAAGCAAGTTTTCAGATTTACAAAAGTGCTACGGCATATTGTAAAGGTTTTCAGAGGCATCACAGGCATAGTTAGAGTTGCTAGACAATAAAGGACCAACTAGGTTAACCAGTTTGCTACAGCGGCACCCTGAGGCAGACCAGTGCTGCACCTGTAGTTAGTTAAGTATATTAAAGACTGAAGCTCGTTGATTGTGGGTAAGGCAGCTAAGTAATGACCTTTCCCTCAATTTGTATTTGAGCTACTAATTTTCCCTAACGGACAGCATAACATCATAATACGTTCGGGTCCCCCCAGAATTTTGAGATTTTCAGACATTCAGGGGGTCCAAGAGGTTAATTGGGAGGTCCTAGACCCCAAGAACTCCCTGTATTTTGCACCTTGCTCAATTCCCTCAAAAGAATTCAAAGAAAACTCTTACATGGTGGACTTCAGTCCCTTTTCAGGTCGCTGGTTGGAGGACGTGAAAGTGAGGAGTCATTAGAGGAATGAGATGCATTCAGTGAGTGAGTTCAAAACACTGACTATTCTTGGCCCACTGAGCAGTCCAGCAAAAGTCATGCCTGTGTCATGTAGCCCATTAGGTTTTTTGCTTTTTCCATTCTCTGTTTGCATCTGAAGAGCACTGGAGACTGCGCATGCTTTGCTTTGTATGTACGCTGCCTATGATGCTAATTATATCGTTTATACTCAGGTCTTTTGTTAATGTGACCACCAGTTGTTTGTTTGTTTTGCCATCCCAGCTTAGGGCATTGTGTAACAGTGCATCTCCTTTTAGATTGTAGAAGCTACTTCATTTGTTTACAACAGTAAAGCAGCACTCACATTGTTGTGAGAAATGGTTTGGTGCATGTCTTCTCCATTAACTTGAATGAGATGTGTTTTTTATGTCCTGACCACAGCGGATAATGACGAAAGGTAACATTATTTTAACCCTGACCCTGCCTTACGCTGACCATGAAATGTGCAGCCAATGATGGCAGGCAATGTTTTCACCTACAAAATTTCAAAATAATGTAAAAATAATGATATTGTAAAGCTTATAGACTCTATTATTATGAACTAATCAGTTATACTGTAAAAAAAACTTCAGAGATCTTCAGGTCGGTAAACATTATGTAATAGAACAAAAACAAAGGGATTTTGGGATGTCATTTTTTGTTAAAAAATAAAACTATTTTTGGTTTCAGTAACTGGTATTGCCTCCTTTGGCAGAACCAACTTTATATAGGCACTTCCTTTAACTGTCAACCAGTTTCTGACATTTAGGCCCAATCACATTTTATCTTTTTACCCCTACCTCTTCTTTTCGAGTGTCACCCTAACCCCTTGGAAGTGAGTTACAAAGGGTAGTGGTTGAAATCTTGCTCTACGAAATGGGACCCTCAAATAAAAAATAAAAAAAAACATTGCTTCATTAACAACCTATTAGTGCTCCTCTGTAGGCGACCCAGCCTGTCTTCAGTGATAGCAGAGAAGGGAAATATTCAGCAACCTCGCTGCTGGGCTTTAGTTACATTTAGGGCATCATATGCTTTCAAAGAGGGGGGATAAGACAATTATTTACTATTGACCACTGCTAATTCATTGGTGATACGAAGCTGAAGTCATCTATTCACCAGCTTCTTGTTTGAATTTTCCTGTTCCACCTTAACTGGTGCAGCAGTTACGTTCTGGTGCTTCAGGCATCAATACTGTTGGACAATTTAAGATGGAACGGGAAAATGAGCTAGTTAGCTACCGAGACATTAGCATACTTTTAGAAATTTTTAATGCTTGTTACGAAGAAAACGATCATAATACATTGAAACAACATTAAACTACGATAATACGATGGTTATTGTAATTTTTTAACAGAGAAAATTCTCACATTTGTGGGTTTCTTCGGTCGCTCGCACAGCCATCTTGCTGGTTTTTCTTTTTTTCTCATAACACTCTGTTTTGAGTGTGCCCATGAAAAACCTCCGTTTGGAGGGCCATATAGCCCTAACACTTTGCCCTACCCCTCTATCTCAACAAAAATTGGGACACCCTAACCCTAGACACAAACGCGGAAAACAGAGGGCTACGGGCTAAGTGGTAGGGGCGAGGGGTGAAATGGGATTGTGCCTTGCTGGAAGACATTTTTGCCCACTTCTCCATGCAGAATTCTTTCAACTGTGCAATGTTTGGGGGGTTTATTGAATGTACACTTAAGGAATGAGCCGTATACCTTCGTGGACTCACTTGTATGTTTGGGATCATTATCCTGTTAGACATTGTCCTCAAGCAGTGGTATGAAATCATAGTTGATTCTATGATTACAAGAGGGCCAGGCCCGAAGTGCACAAAGCAGCCCCAAACCATAATATTTCTACCATCCTGCTTTACAGTTGGTAGGAGTTTCTTTTGATCAGATTCTGTCTTTGGTTTTCACCAAACATGTCTTCTGGTACTGTGGCCAAACAGCTCTATCTTTGTCTTGTCTGTTCATAGTGTGTTGTTCCAGAAGTCCTGGTCCTTGCTTAGGCAATCTTTAGCAAACTGTAGTCTTGATCTTCTTTATAGATAGCAAATTT